ACCACCTAGCTCCACATTAGACAGATCTGCGGAGGTTGACTGGGGGCGACTTCAAACTCGAAACATTTCCCAACTCGAAGCACCTAAATCGCATCTACCCCGAACTATACCCAGATGACTCGTGTAAGCTATGTAGCATGAGACACGTCACCCTAGAGCACATTTTATGGGAATGCACACAGATACAGGGCGCCAATGCAGTCTCCCCAGAACAGCTTGGGGCGCGGTGGAGAGCCTCGCTGATCAGCTCAGATCGGGCAGATCAAATATGGGCCATCCAGCGAGCACGGGAGGCGGCTGAGAGACAGGGCCTCTCCACCGCCCCTGGTGCGGCCTAGGGCCCACGCCTCAATCCGCTGGTTAAATAAAGTTTGCTCACTCACTCTCCAGACGGAAGACTATCGTCATTCGACGATATTTGCAGTGAAACGTGCAGATACGGGGCCAATTTTTTTTATTTCCTCCTTTTACCTACATGTTTCGTCTAATAATAATAATAATAATAATAATAAAGCCAACTGCTGGCTCTGAAACAGAGATAACGCGTCGCGGGTTTCGTTGTCCGCCTCTTTTGTAACTGTGTACTCACGGTTGGTTCCGACGTGGACACGCGCTCCACCGGAGGAGGCGAGTGGCGGTGGCCAGCAGGCGATCGCCGTCCGTGGAGCGGCCACTGCGGCATCCAGTGGCGGTAGCGAGGCGACGTCCATGAACTGCTGCTGCTGCAGAAGACTAGCCGCTCGTCGTCGCCGCGCAGATGTCCGCAGTTCGTGAACTCGCACTGTTTTCTCGCATCCGCAGGGCGACACTGGCGCCCGTTCCGGCGCCCGGCCGATCCGTTCCTGCAAGTCATGCCGCAGCGGGAACCAACCCGCAAAAGCCAGCCAGCCAGCCGACAGGAGAGCCGCTCTTATGCACACCCTCTGCGTGCGACCGTGTGGCATTCACACTAACCGGATCCCGAGTCAAAGGGTATCGGCCGACCATGCAGTGCTCCGGTTATTGTGGCGCACGCTTTGGCGAACCGTTGGGCGGATCGGCTGTGTTCCTTGCCGAGCTTTGAGAACAACCCTGTTTTTTTTTTTGCATTAGTTGGTGTTCCCGATGCTTTTGAATGGTTTGTTTCTTTCTCGCTTTCGAAGGCCAAAGCCCTTTATTTTTTCTTTTACGGTGTACGCTTCGTCAGACGTCTTCGCCGTGCAAACATATGTACGGGCAGATTGTTTGTGGTGAATATGGTGAACGTGTGAACCAGCCTCATCTGCACTCGATCGGTGGAGGGACGAAATAGCCTTATATCGTGAGGCATCGTTCTCCGATTGCTTCGTGTTTCGTCCTTGCCTGCGCAGCGTCCTTTGCCAGCGTTATATGCGTCACCCGAATGGTGTCTCATTTGGTTTCCAGTCTTAATCTAGCACGCGTCTTCTCAAGGATGTCCCGCTTCGGCTTCCCAACTATGCCGACAGGGGTGTAGGCATCGTACTACAAGAGGAGGACCCTTCCGTTCGCTGTCGCATTAACTGGCGAGCGCATACACGTGTGGCGACGCGCCGCTGAGCGCGAATCTCGTGTGTGTGTGCACGTGTTCCGCTGTCGCATCTCCTCCTCATCAGCAACACAATGGACAGCCGGCTGCGAATGTGCGGCGTGCCACGCCAGACAACGTCTACCGGGACGTCGTCACTGTGGGTGTGTGTGTGTATGCGTGGCCAAGGCAGGTCAGGTGGTTACGCTTGAAGGGACCCTCTGGCAAGGGTGTGCGCTTGCTGATCCCGCTATCCGCATCTCTTTGGGTGCCCGTCCTCTTAAATTAGCGTTCGGGTCCTGAGCTTAGAGCTTCTCGACTTTTTGGTTTGATACGAGATACCTTGCGAATATCCTGCGAGAAGTGCTAAGACGTTGCGATATTTGGGCGATAGCTGGCGATTCGTTTCGCGATATCTGGGTAAAATGTCTCGTGATATCGTGTGACGTCATGTTACAAAAAGTTCGTGACGTCATCAATGACGGTCGTTCGATGTATGTCACTGCATGACATCGTCGTTTCGCCTGAGGTGGGCGGATCCCGGGGATGTGCTGCAACGGTTCAAGAGCGAGAAGCTTCAGGGTTAAGAGAGGGAGGTTGGAGTCACGTACTCAAAACGTTGAGTTAATTTAATGAGTGAGTTGTGATAGTGTAGGCCTTTGTCTATTGTTTCCTTAACGTTACCTAAAGGGAGTGCCTATTTTTGCAAAATCGAAGGTGCTTAATTTTAACTGCTTTTTTATTTTAACTTTAGGCCGCCGCGTGGTCGTATACTGTCGCATTATGTCGTGCTTGGCGTAAAGCAGGCAAAGCCGAATATAGCGTAGCGAGCTGTATCATATTGAGCTCGGGCTCGCGCCAGAAAGTAGTTTTCTTTCGCATGCTCTTCAAGTCTTGATGATAATATTAACCCGGGAAAAAACGCACATTGCGTAACTAACTGCAGCATGTCTGAGTTCAGCACTGTCGGAATTCGGGCTTGTTGGTTTTTCTTGTTAGAAACGTTCTAATAGGTAAAAATGAAGTATATTGACATCTGTGGGTGCCATAGACCTAACACATGAAGTTACGGAAAGTCTCATTCAGCCCATGCCGCGAAAATACGAAAAGTACATATTGATATAGGTGACGTAGAGCGTGGAGGTATCGGCGCGAAATTAAAAAAAAAAATGAAACTTCAATATCGATTTTCTCCGCTAATAATGAACTTATGATAGGGAAACTTGTGACATTAGAGTGACCAAAATACAGTTTATCAATGTAAATCAAGTCATTGTTTCACTTTAATGTCTCTTTAAAAGAGTTCATTGCCTCACGAATAGACTGCCGCGAAAAATCTTTAAATCCGTCTAGGACGCCCCGCCGCGGTTGTCTTGTGGCTAAGGTTCTCGGCTGCTGGCCCGCAGGCCGCGGAATCGAATGCCGATTGCAGCGGCTGCATTTCCGATGGAGTCGGAAATGTTCTAGGCCCGTGTGCTCAGATTTGGGTGCACGTTAAAGAACCCCAGGTGGTCGAAATTTTCGTAGCCCTCCACTGCGGCGTCTCTCATGATCATATGGAGGTTTTGGAACGTTAAACCCCACATATCACTCAATCAATCAATCCGTCAAGGACGAGCCGGTGTTCCAGGGATTTGTCGCGCGCTTTCCCCCTCTCCTTTCGTACCAGCTACGTGGGTGTATGACAATGTGGTAAGAAGCTTCATCGCTTTTTCAGCGTGCAGGTGCGTGGTGACATCCCGTGGTGGCCGCGGTAACTATGTAGCTCATCGTGCTCAAATGAGCCAATGGCCGAGACGGGCGGGCGAATTGTAACTGACAGTGAGCATTAATCGTAATTTCCATGCCCCGTGCTGGGCTATAATGTTTCGCTCGCTGGTTAATTGGGAGCCGTCGCTACCAATCGGCAGCGTTCTTGACGCTGCCGAAAAAAGGGTTGCAGGGTACCTTAAGTCAAGAAAAAAAATAGAAACCAACAACAAGAAAGAAAAAATAACGTCTTCATGTCGCAGACAACCACGGAGCGGCAGCTGCGGAACTTGCGTGTGGAAAACCCCGAATTCAGCGACGTTCTGAGCTCCATGGACATCCAGTCGCATCGGCGCGAGAAGCGCAGGGTGACCAAGAAAGTAAAGAGCTTCGACGCAGCCAGCTACAGGTGCGCAGTTTCGTTCATCTCCCATAATAGCGTTTATTGGGGCGAGCTTCTATTTCTGGGGTTATCTCGATTGTAGAAATGTTCCGCGTTGTAAGCTCGGATGTGTACGACTCGAACTTCCATTATTTTGTGACACGTGCACGTGCTGAACACCGCACTGTGTGGAAAGCAGTAACAGGCAGTTTCGGACCGGGTCGCTTTCTTGGCGCTTTGATTATATAGAAAGACTCCACATGGCTGGTGAGCGACTAAACGTTATCCGAAGCTGCCTGCGTAGCTTGAACTGTGGTTACCTTTACGTATACTATTGCTGCCGCATGTGTTTCGCCGTGCACTACATCGTTGTCGTTGTTGTTTTGAAAAAAGAAATAATTTTCCTGTATTATGCGTGTTTTAGATTTTTCTCTGAATTTTTCAGCACTACAGAGCCGGTTCGAGACTGCGGTGTGGTCTGTGGATCACAAGAGTGTGCCTAGCTGGACAATAATTGGGTAATTAATGAATGTCATACAACTAATTACGTTTCGTACATCCAACCGATGAGCCCGATGCCTCTCAGTACATACGAGTTCCAAGTTCGTTGAGCTATTTCACGGTTATAATTAGTCTGTAATCTGTGTGATTCCAGATTAAGTTAAATACGTACGTCACATTGTGGTCAGACCGTCCGAATGTGGCTTTGCGATCTACGAATCGATTGTGTTAAATGATCCTTGTCGCTTCGGTGGTGGCATCCCAATATTACGGGACGTGTGATCTGCCATTCAAAGAGTCTTGCATCCTCAACGCCTGAGCTCTTGGATAAGCTCGTGTTCACTGGGCGTTCGCTTAGTCGAGAATCATGCCGCCGCGCTGCAGCAGTGATAATTGTATCGAAGGGCGCGGGTTCGATTCCGGCCTTGGCGGTCGCATATCGATGGAGGTGATATGCTGGAAGTCCGTGCGCTGTACAATGTCGGTGCTCGCCAAAGAACCCCAGGCGGTCCTACCACTACGACGGGTCTCGTAGTTTGAATCGCTTTGGTACGTTAAAACCGGGAAGCCAACCAACGAAAGTTCCGGCGGCGTGGGTGCCCGTACACTGCTGCGCAACACCGTTCCCAGAACCAGAATGGTTCGAGAAGGCACCAAAATGCATTGGCATCGGAAAAGGCACTGCCACAAAATATCAGCGCTATAAACTAATTGTAGAACAGCTAGCTGCCTTTGAAATTGTGCCCACCAGCTCCCTCCACTATAGGGCTGTTACTTTCCGATATAGAAAAAAAAAAGGAGGGGGGGGGGGGGGGGGTCCGAGCGGCTTTTTCGGTGTCTAGGCTTAGCGGTTGCGGGGCGTTTCTTCCTTATCGCGTTCGTTGAAGAAGCGGCGACATGCGCTCTCTGAATGCGCATGCCGACGATGACGTTTCATATCGCCCCTTGTAGCCTGCTATCGAAGAGCGCGTCTCATGCCTTGGCGGCTGTCACGTGGACATTGCTTCGAGCCCATATACAGAGCAACACATCGACCAGCTCTTCTATACTCGTGCTACACATATCGCGGACGTTGTCGTACGCGCAATCCCCTTCTGCAGTTTCTTTCCCAAGAAGGTGCCGGCTCAATGAGAAGACGACGGCCGGTGCCCGACTTGGACGCACGGTCCTGGCTCCCTGGTTCGCCTCGGAGACAGCACGGAGCGATGCTACGCTGGCCTGAACAGGGTGAGTTTTTCTTTGATAAATTAGGCTGTATTAAGTTATTACCTCTTTTTTTTTTGCCCAGTGCTCGTTTAGTTCGTCTAATCTTTCTCTATTATGTATTTCGTGTAAAGTACGTATCCAGACTTGCTATAGGCGAATGTATAATTTGCTAGTTACTATTTCAAGTAACACATCTTAAGTGTCTAGCTGTCCTCCAAGTTTCTATCTGTGGCTGAATAACGTGCTGTCGACCTTTTTCCCTAGACGTAAGCTTGACAAAGATGCTTTTTAATAATGCTCAAGAAGCTGAATCACTCGCATTAGAATTGTTTGTTTCTCGGCCCTGACAGATTTCGTATCGAGCAATTGTTTCATAAAAAGGCACCTGAAAATTTGTTGTAGTTAGTTACCTGCTCAACTACATCGCTGCAATCGGTGTTTTATACCCGTTTCTCATGCGTAATTTCCAGACGTTAGCTCAGTTTTAGATAATAGGCAATGTGGACGGATGCAAAGCTTTCAGTATAGACATTGGACACTCCCTGCTACCTGAAGGGTCGTTGAAGCTTGTTAGAGACCGGAATAATGAGCAAGTGCAGGGAAGTGTTTATTGCAAATAAATGTGTTTAAAAGGTTTTTTTTGTTTTTAGAGATCACTCTCTTGTATTTGAATTGCAAGCTAGTTGGGTAGAGATAAGGCGTTTTTTAACAGAAAACCTTACTTTTCATTGTTTTGTAGTATCCCCGATTCTTAGTTAATTATACCTTAGGAAGATACGCCTTAGGTAACGAGTGTTGAACTACGTGGTAACGTCAGTGGGTAATTAGGTGGATAGACAGCAAGCATACATATATTTTTAAAATTTATATCTGAGAAGTGGCAGAGCTTGTTTTTCTTTCTTTTTTCTTCTCTCGCCTTATCCACGCGCGCACGGTTTGGAGCGTATTTCTGTTGAGCCAGATTCGATGATGCGCTCGAGGCGTCGCGCAGTTATCACTGTTGTCACGTGTCTTCATTTTTCTGTTTGGTAACTGTCTGCGATAGATCGTTGGAAGCGCGCAATCTGAGCACCGGTGAACCACCCACGGGGGTTACAAAAAAAAAAAAAGGCGTCGCATAGCTTCTAGTTGTGCCCCACTGAATTCCACATGTGCGGAAACAGTTTAGTTTTCGGGCCCTTGCCATTGTGTGGAGAGAGGAAACTGAAACTAATGGTTAATTTTTACTGCATGTTTCAGCCAGCATCACCCATGCATGCTTAAATTTAAAAATAAAGCTGTTCGCGCTTGACGTGACAAGTGGCTTTCACCGTGTGTGGTCATTTAGCTGTTATTCATGAACGGTTAGTAATTGTCTAATAAGAAGAATCATAAGTAGCGGACAGCGGCTCAAGTTGGTTCGAACAAACCATATATGTGAACCTAATTGAAAGGAACCCTAAAGTTAAACGATGAACCAAGTTAGAAACTGATAATTCATAAATTAATTGTTTGAACACTCTGCTATCGTTAATTTTACGCTCATAGATTTATTGATGGAAGTAAAAAAAATAGTCAGTTTCTAATGATAAGCAGCTTATGGTGGAGTTCTATCCGGTGTGCGTGCCAACGCCTAATGCGCATGCGCAAAAGCTGGCCCAAGCGCTGTCAAATCGCGCGTGTGTTCCGGCCCCTGTGCAAGGGGCTGGGTAAGACACTGTGGCCTTGCGTCTCTCATAATCGTGTGGTGGTTTTGGGACGTTAAACCCCACATATCAATCATATATATATATATATATATATATATATATATATATATATATATATATATATTGTATTCTGTAGCAATACCGGTGTCCGCCAATATCTTCTCCTTGTCGAGTATTGACAGCCATTGCAAGAGGGGGCAATTATGGACAAGAAGAAACTCCACCCCTTTCCAGAATTTCCTTCCCTCTCTCTCTTCCTTGCAAAGGCTGTCAATGCCAAAGTCATGCTAAATGAAGGGGGGGAGGGGTGATTTTGTGTAAATTTTTACCACGTGGTTAATACAAAAACGGGGATAGGCAAGTACCGGTACCAGAGAACTTCGTATAATTGCTCACATTGCCTCAATAAACTTTACTCCCATGGCCACTACTTAAAAACTAGACCTTGGCCCGACGTTTTGGGACCGATTCAGTGCCTTCCTCAAAGGTGGCTAGCCGTTTTTTTTTTAATTGTAACGTTAAAAACTGTTGACCAAGAGTGGCTGGAGAGTTGGCTTTCTAGCGTACTTTTTACCCGGCCAGACAGATGTCTGTCGATGATGCTTTACGTTGAAAGCATACATTTACGGCCCCGATCGCCTTCGTATGTGGCAAATATCGCCTTCGCCTTCGGAGAGCGACAGGGCGTTCGTAGCTAAAGGCCCTACTTCATCCGTAGCAAGGTAAGGGCGCAATGTTGATCTCCGCGTGGCCCAAAAATGGAGCGTGATTCAGCATGATGCATCAGTTTCCGGAAAGCGGCTGCCTCCTCGTGGCATGATCGTAAAATTCGAAGAGCGAACAGTGTAGGAACATGACGCGCCATCTTCGCTTTCTTATCAACGACAGCAAGCGCCCCCCACCCCTCCTACGCGCACGTTCGGACCCAGCGTGCTCCGATGCGAGATGACGATAACAGCGCCCTGATAGTAGCGAGCTGCCACTCCTCGGCCGGGCGCTGCGGCCCAGTAACTACAGGTTTTCCCGCTCACTTTAATCCAAGTACCAGCTTAGATAATCTGCACGCCATTTAAATAATCTGAGCGCCGAGCTATTTAATCGATGTGCCAAACATTTAATCCAAGCGCCAACTCAATGAGGCCGCGTGCCAGTGAGATTAATCCAAGTGCCACCGTGTTTAATCCAATTGCCAATGACTATAATTCAGGTGCTAGTCAGTTTAATCCATGCACTGGAAACACAAGCTTGCCGCTTTGTAGAGTATAAATGTCAGAATAATGTAAACATGCAGTAAGAACTCTTCCCTCGCCTATACATGCTTGCGCTTATGAAATGAAGTGCGCAGTGCTATTTCCCGCTAACGTTTTGGTGTCATAGCTTCAAAATAAAAAAAACGGTGTGTGTGTTAATTGCATTTACGGGTACTAAATGTATTTGCTCATAGAGTTCATGTTAGTCTATGCTTCGTCGCTACTGCATTATTCCGGCTACCCATGTACACCATCGCATATGCATAGATTCGTGTCGTCTGCTAAGCAGACGGCTTTTGTCTACTTATTCGCTGAGGCATTCGCAGTCGTCTGCTCAGCCCGGTGATAACAACAGTGATCGACAGATGGTCACCAGGGCCTTTGTCAAGCCGTTCTCGCGGCTTTTAGCCTTGGCGACCTTCCAGTTTTTGTCTGGTAAATAAATAAAGTTTGATTTGACTTGATTTGATATTCATTCGTTCTTAAAATCAGAAACAACCATTTAAAGCTCAAGTTGCATTTGTCTGGGTTCATGGCGAATTGAGTTTTTTTATACAAGAGCATCAAAGGACATACTCCTGTTTTCTTGTAAAAGATGACGCTAGTGTTCCTGAAGCCTGTTTGAAGCACGCGTTCATGAATACACATAATAGTGTTTGAATAAAAAGATAACAACTAATATGAATGTAAAATATGACTTCCGTTTTCCACATCAGGATCACGAGTTTACGTCTTATGTGCACTGCAGGACGAAACCCTCTTCGAAATATTTCTAATTTGCTCTGCCCTTTGATGGCCCCCGAATTTATTGAGAATGTACCTGCTTTTGACTCGTCACTACACACAGTCAAGTTTTCCATATCTTGTTATGGATTCCGGCACTCCAATAACCATATTATGTCTGCCGCATTAGATCACCTGGCCCGGACATGTAATGCTATACAAATCCAATTATGAGCTTTGTTGATAAACACAAAATATTCTGGCTTTTTTTTTCTTTTGTTGCTATTAAAATGACTCCACCCGGACCAAGCACACATCTACAAACTTGTACATAACACAGTATAAGCACTCCAAACACGGCTCAAGCGAACCGCGGCAGTAAGTTTTGTTTTCTCGAATACTAGCGGTGAATACTTATGGTAATGATTTATTCTACCTCCCTACTATAGTATCTTATATTGTAGAAACTGCATTTCAAATTCACTGCCATTTTTACGCCCCGTATTGCGCTTTTTGTGCATGGATTAAACTGACTAGCACCTGAATTATAGTCATCGGCAATTGGATTAAACATGGTGGCACTTGTATTAAATACACTGGCACGCGGCCTGATTGAGGTGGCGCTTGGATTAAATGTTTGGTACATGGATTAAAAGGTTGGCGCTCAGATTACTTTCAATGGCGTGCAGATTATCTAAGCTGGTACTTAGATTAAATTGAGCTGGAAAACCTGTAGTAAGCGCGCGGAAGGAGGTTGGTCAGGCGCAGGAAAGATGCGCGAGCTTGTGTGTGTGTGTGGGGGGGGGGGGGGTGTAAAAAAAAGTTGACTGGCCCTTTAAGGTCTCTTGGTAAAACGAATTGTTTTATCTGGGAATCTTGCACAGACTGTGTGCGATGGTGGCCTGAATCGGAACACACCCCCGTAGCTGCGCGTGTAATGAACGCTACAGCTCGACGCTAAAGGCGTTGGGTGGCGGTGTGGAAACGCGGTGTCGAGCGTGCACCGTTTACGTTGTGCCTGATTAGAGTTTTAGTACTGCGTACGCTGCGTACGTGGCGGCGTTGCGTACGTAAGGACGCCACGTTCTGCGTAGTGCGCATGCGCAGACCGCAACGCGCACGTATCGCGTTACGTACGCAGCCGCTACGTACGCACGCATGAGATGCGTGCTTGCGTACGTATGAGCTGATCGCGCCGCTTTCGAACAAGTTCGCGACAGCGCGAGACTTCGTTTTGCAAAATGGCGGCATCGAAGGCAACCACCGACCGGCTCTGTGGCTTAAAATATGGCCATAATCTGGCTATAACACTTGGATTGGCTCACATTGGCTGTCAACAACACGTGCTTCTATTTTGATCTACCAGATGGCGCAACACGCTTCACGCTCGCTACGTACGCGGGTACTACGGCCTACTAAAAGCCCATAAGTGGCAAACGACGCCACGTAACGCAAGGCGCTTGCGTGATGCGTACGTAGCACCATTCCGCAGTACTAAAACTCTATTGGTTGCGGCCGCGGCCACCGTGGTTGCGGCAGTGCTCCAGAAAATGCGTGTTACTTCGCGTAAAGTTCAACTACGGTGTAGCCAGAAGTTTTTCTCGAGGAGGGGAAGGGGTCAAGTATACTTTATGTATGTTTGTGCGAATGGCCGCACGATGTGTGCGTGTTTACGTGCGAAAACGTCAGTGCTTCGATTCGACGACGCACGTACTTCTCATACACCGCGTTGACTCGTGGGACCTAACCAAGGGGTGGAGAGGTTCTGCACCCTCCCCACCCACCTCTCCCCCTAACATTTCCCTCTTTGCGTGTATATATATATATATATATATATATATATATATATATATAAGGGAAAGAAGTGTATACCTAAGGGCTCGTTTTTCCGTGTTTTTAACACAATAATAATGAGATATAACAGACAGTAATGCCAAGGAATGTACAGGGGAAGTTATTAACATTAATGGAATGTAAATAAGAAGAAAGAAAAGTGGATGAAAAAATTAGACCCCAAGGAGCTTGGAGACCGCAACATTTGCGAGCAGCCAGGGTGCATGCGTAGAATTCAAGCGAAGGGCGAGAGGAGCGGTGAAGCATTGCACCTTCCTTCTACACTCTCTCGCACCACGTGCTCCATTTGCTAGAGGCGAGGATAAGGGCGCGCGTCCCAGCTGTTACTATGGGAAAGAGAGTGAGAGCGGAACGATAACAGCTGCCGGCGCGTGGACTACGCCGGATGCCTGACATAGCCCGACTAGGAAATGCATTCGCATTTAAAAATCTAAAATTTGTGTGGGCCCCCGAGGCGTCTTGGGTCGCCAGCAAAACGACGCAGACAGAGCGTTGTCCACGACGCAGCCCGCGAGTCGCATAATTTGAATTTCGCCGCTCTTGGCGCCTCGTGCGTTTGATCCACGTCGTTTGATCCAACGCCGCCTGCATTTCACCCAGTTCTCAAACTGTACTGCTCCTCCGGGCGCACCAGCAGGCAATCCAATGCAGCTTGGGGACCCACTGTCCTGGGTCAAATTCTCTTTAATAATAGGGCGCTTTAGAATAGCGTGCGCAAACTTTGCGGGCGTAGCGTTGCGGCCGTCACTTAACGGAAACTCAAGATGTTGGCACACGACATGCGCAAAGCTTTGCGTTGGCCAATATAAAACTCTATTATTGTTTCCCCCCCCCCCCCCCCCGAAAAACTCCCAAGCATTTCCCCGAGGATGAACATGGTTAAGTGCGAATGCACGGGGTGATGCTATGAGGGGTATTTATTAATTCGCACTATTATATTTATTAATCACACTATGGTGCCTTTATGGTGTAATGGTTCCTGGGAATCGCAATTTGATCACACGGGGGAGTTTACGTTAACTCACTGGCGAATGCCAACGGATTTTAACTTTACTCCCCCTCGGTGCCACGGACGCGACACCGATATCAGCGTCGCGTTCGTGGCTTATTCGGTAGAGCGTCGCGCTGCGGCCCGCCAAGTCCTCTTTCTTTTAAAAATAGAGAGAAGACTGCGGACGCCGCCGACGGCGGTGGATGGTTTGGGGTCGCTTATAAAGTGTATTCACACTTAAAAAGTTTGTGGTTACGCCCCTGACTTGCGCATCCTCTTTGCATGTCGAAAAGCTACTGCGGCCGATTCTTCCCGTAAAAGCCGAGGAAAACAAAGCGATGCAACCACGAACGAGGGCTCGCGCGCTCTTGTCGTAGGCGCGTTCGGGTCCACGCGACTGTCGACGCTGGACGCCCGGTTTCGAGCTCTCCTGTCTGGCCATCGGACCTGCGCGTCGGCGGGTTCCCTGCGGTCATCGCGGGGGTCTCGGGAGTCTCGAAGACGGACCCGTCGTGGCTGCGTCTCGCGTTCCTGCGTGCCAGCCTCGGGTGTCGTACCGAGGTTTCTTCGCTCGTCTAACGAGTGCTTTCAAAGGGTACGATGCGTCTTGGACGGGTTTCGTGGTCGTTATCGCGGATTACGTTCAAGCCAGGTTGCCGTGTCGGGCTGTATAGTATACGTGTTTCTGTAAACAAGGGGGCGGAGACCGCGCTCGAGGCAGCCTTGCTCGTGTAGTGCGTGGCGCGTGCCCACGTTATTTTGTTTTAGGCACGATTTCGAATGATTTTGAATTTCTTAATGGTTGCATTACATTTTTCGTCGGCTTAAAGGCGTCGCACAATCAACTATACCTTCGACGGTTGGCGACGCCGTCAGCGTTTTTGGCGAGTGAAATTTAATAGATATGCTCTTTTGGCTGACTGCGTCCGCTTCAAACGCGGCGTGCGGTTCTTCTTCTCAGATTCGACCTTTCGGTTTGTGTGCATTACTTTTCAGTTCCTCTGCACACTGTTTAGCTGAGTGAAGAATGGAGGCTGACGAAGAGCAAGGTAGCACAATATCGGAGCCCCAGGAGCAGTCTGAAGGCAGGTGAGTTGTAAACTGGCTTTGTGTAGTATTAAGCTTAGGTCAAGGATAGTAGTTTGTGATGCGATATTTACGAAAAAAAAAAAACTCGATGTTTTTTTTTTCATTGTCCAGATCTCGGGAATCGTGAATGCGGTCTTGCAAAGCACATGGCTTAGTTAAACAGTTCCCACCGTGCGCGTCAACTAAAAGCCGGATTCTCCTGTCTCTCATTCCCCCTTAGCAGCGATTGGCATGTACATTGAGCACCCTCTGACAAGAAAGGGTTGCTACGTTATACTCGCTAGACATAACCTCCTTGGTTTTAGAAAGCTTTAGCGAGCGTTGGGCCGCAGTGTCATGAATACAGTGAACTAGTATATACTCGAGGTGGTTAAAGGTGGGAAGTAGACACGAAGCGCAAGCCGTAAGAAAGTGTGCGTGTGCCACCTCTCGTTTAGTCCTTGGATTGTCCGCTGTATGGCGGTGCTTCTATATGAGGAATATATGATGAAAAGATGCGAGATGGTGGTACTTGGAGTGTTGAATAGATGGACGAACGGACACACAGACAGATGCATGGATGGACTCACGGATGGCTGCACCGACGGATGGACGCATGGATGGACGCAGGGGCGGATGCATGGATGAACGCAGGGACGGACGCACAGAAGGACGTGCGGACGCACAAACAGACGCACGCACGGACGGGCGATTGGACGCGCGGATGGTCACATGGACGGACGGATGCTTCGACCCACTCGCGATCATTCACTCCGAGGATATGCTGCCATTTTTTTTTTTTTTCACCTGTAAGCATAGTAAGATCTCTTGGACGCGTATATACGCTTTAAATGCGCTAGCGGATTAAACGCAGTTGCGTCGAAACCCCGACGTGGTCGCTGACCGAGTCGTGGTGTCTGGGCCCGTGCCTGCCGATCAATGCATGCCTAAGGTCCCTTCACCTAGGGACCTTATGCATGCCGCGATCACAGCGTCCCCTCGACTCGTGGTGTTGCCGCGCGGCGCAAGGCGCTCATATTGGTAAGTGCGTAGACCGGCCGTACCGACTTCTGAAGGATGAGCACTGAGGGACAAATTATCCGTTTAAAATTTATCGGCGACTACCTTATCACGATGAACATCTTCCGCTATCAGCTGGGCAGCATGTCTGTCAGCGCAAATGTCTGGCGGCGCAAACTCTAAAGCGCCGCCGTGCAGGAACGCTAGTGCGCCGGGGAGACGTCGAGTGCGTATTCGCCGCGCAGTCACAGCGGGCTCGCTGCTGTCGGAGCCAAATGCGGAGAGGCTACGGGCCGGATGAAATTCGAACGCGATGCGCGCGTCTCCTCGTCTCCCGGTCAAAGACTACCGCAACGCGCACGTATCGCGTTACGTACGCGGCCGCTACATCGCGTGCGAGCGTACGGGTGAGGTGGTCGCGGCGCTCTCGAACACGTTCGCGACTCCGCGAGACTTCGCGTCGCGAAATGGCGGCATCAAAGGCGTTCACCACCCATTTTGAGTGGATACGATAGCGTTCTACAGCAGTTAAAAATATGGCCATAATCCGGCTAGTACACTTATATTGGCTCAGATTGGCCTTCAACAACACGTACTTCGATATTGATCTACCAGATGGCGCAACACGCTTCACGTTCGTTACTTACGCGGTTACTACGGCGTACTAAAAGCCCATTCGAGGCAAACGGCGCCACCGAACGCAAGGCGCTTGCGTAATGCGTACGTAGCACTGTTCCGCATTTTCCTTGTGCGCCTTACGTCACGTAGGAAGAACGGCCTACGTCCAATCTGAGCGATACCGGGCTGTCCGACGTGGGCTATGTTGCGTCCTCTGGCCATTTGATGGCACTCAAGAATTTCGTGGCTTTGGTTAAAAAAAAAGCGACACGAAATAAAGGGAATTTTAGTGAGTTGTTGAGGCAACATTTACTATGGCATCATGTTTATATCTTCGCAGATAGTGGCAGTGCATGGCAGGATATGCAAATTTGTACTTGATGGTTACCGCATGCTACTGTTTAATGCATATTTACTCTGTGTTTTGGTAGGAACGTATTTATAAAATTTTTGTGTTATATATATTTTGTGTGCAGCTATAGCAGCAGGATTCATTGTACAGACTTGCACCATCGAGCTCACGGGCATTTCACTCAATAAATTCTTTATGAACGTTTCACACAATGAATTCTTGTCATTAATTCACATGGCAGCACTGCTGCATAACCTTTCTGCTATTATACAGGTGAAGCAAAAAAACGCAGCATATTCATGTAGTGAATGATGATGAATGGGATGCTTGTCTGTCTGTCCCTCTGTCCGTTCCATCTAGTGAACTGAACACACATACCCATCTCTCATCTTTTATGTAGTCTCTCCTTCCCCTGTGGCACATACCCGCCCATCCCCTGCAGCACATACCTGCTCTCTCAGGTATGTGCCACCGGCGGTTACACACAAGCCATGCCATAAGGAGCTTCGCTCCTAAGAGCATTGCAGTGCTTGCCTGCTTTAAGCACTTTGGCGGAAAAAACTGTGCCAGTGGAGCTGGTATGTGGAATAAAATCGGATTCAGAGTACATTAGGTCTGAAATTGTTTTATTTAGTTGAGGTTTGCTTTTATTATGGTGCAAGAATCGCTCGAGCCTTCAGGTGTAAAAAGAGGAAGCCCTTATTTTAGGTAAGCAGATTGCTGAAGAAAGTGATGTAGCTACTCGGTAGGGACTTCTGCGAAGGATCATGCTTCCTGTTTCACTGTAGTAATAGTGAACAAGCTGGCCATGCTACTTCAGAGCAGGAAACTGTTAGCTTATTCATATGTGCAATAACTTGTGTGCATTAAATATATCATATAGACGCATGAGCTTGGTCATGCAGCTAGACGCATGAGCTTGGTCATGCAGCTTTGCGAAGTTGCCCTTTAGGGAAAAAGAACAGACTACAGGTGAAAAATGTACATAGCTAGACCATCAAGCAGACTCCTCTATGACTCCTTGCATAAGTATCAAATGAAGCCACCTTCCTTTTTTCATCGTTCACATGCCAGATACATCACAGTTTAAAACTAGAACCTACCGAGTGTTCTTTGATTATTGCCCATTTTTCTGCTTTGTTTCACTCCGGTTCTTTCCTGTTGTGCCCATGGTTCTTAAAAGTAATGTGCTTGTGCTAAATGAAGAAAACTTCTTGAGCGAACTTCAATTAGACAATTCTAGTTTTACAAAATTGTTTAAGTTTTCAACAAAGTGTTGAAGTTGAAATTTTGAAGTTTTCAACAAAGCAATGTTGGAATAAATGCTACTGCTTTTTTCTGTTTAACGAGCTCCAGTGTGCAGGGCACAGTTGTTTCCCATGACACAGTCCAATACCACTATTGTCACATGTTCACTTCAACAAGTACAAGAGCTTATTTTATAGCATAGTTTTACCGTAGCCTCTACGCCACCAGAGTACCACACAGGCCAGGATTTTACGCTGACAATGATGCTTCATTACCAGCTGAAGCTTGTTATGAAACTTGATTGTCGCATGCTTGATATCATGAGTGCCATACGGAAGCACCAGTTTTAAATATCGGAGCTTGGGCAGTCGTAGTGACTAAATTAATACCATCTGCACTCCTAAGGGCACAAGTTGGGCAAAGGTCACTGCATTCTTCACAAAATGCTTCATACAAGAGTACACATGCAAATGAGCAGCTGGACGAATTGGTAACAAGCCCCAACATAGGTGCTTCAGTAAAGTGAACTTTCATTTTAACAAGTTTTCCCGACGTCCCTTGAAATCTGTTCCAATGAAGTTTCACTGTAACCTGCCTTTTTTTTTGTCTTTCGTTTAATTCTTTTACAAGTGAGACTTGTGGTGTAGTGGCACTTAAACACTGCATGTATGAGATAGAAATGGGGGGTAGACTTGCAGGATAATACTGCAACTGCCCTGAACTCTTCGAATCTTTACGACAGGTTATTGCTGTTCTTTCTCCTGCTGGGATGGCTTTTTTTCTCCTGCTCCTGCTCAGAGTGCTGTAATTAGCACTCTTTTTTTATATCTAGGAATCTTAATTCAATTTTGTTGCATTTTTGCTGCTGGATCTCTCTATTAGCAAAAATCAAATGCACAACCTCTATGCCATGTACAAAACCTCCATCTTTGATATTGCTGTCCCTCTTGCAGCAGCAGCGACCAATCGAATGCTGACGACGATGAGTGGAGGCCGTGCCGTCGCAAGGTCGTCCGTCGGGTCAACCTTCAACGGTCGCAAGCCACCAAGCTGATGTGGCAGCGCAAAAGGGCCGCTGCCGCTGCTCTTCTTCTTCAGCAGCAACATGAGGGTAACAATCCTGGACTAATGGGGCCTTCAGGTTCCGGTGGCTCAATTGGCTCGAGCCCTACCTTGGATCGGCAAACGGCAAGCATGAGGCAGTCTATGAAAGCACTTCCTATGAGTGCAGTTTCCAAATGCAAGCCAGCTGCAGCGCAGCAGCAGCCACCACCCACAAGGAGGCGCCGGTTCCCAGCCAAAGCAGCTGGTTCTCCAAGGTGTGTAGAGCACATCGCAATTGTTGCAAAGCAATTTGGCAATTTGGAAGTTTGTGGTGTAGAGGGGGCAAAACAATAGAAGTGGAAGCCAGTTGTGAACAACAGAAACTTTTTGTCTGCATGAATGAAAAGGATGCATGAATAAATGCATTGAGTTGTCTTTTTGCCAGTGCAGTTATGTGGGGCATGACTCCTATCACATAAGACATATAGCACTAGAGTGGGGCATTTGCCAATCTAGTAAATTGCTCAGTGAAATTAATAGTTGGTTTTAATGTAGAGAAAAGGAACATTGTATACTGCATTTAGCAGCAAGAGCTTAAATGAGAAAATTGAAATACAGTATTAAATCATGGAAATAAGGAAGTGCACTTAGACCAAGTAATCTGTTCTTTTGAAAGATGTGGATCTGGCCGTGTACGTTCAGAAGTGCTAGGTTGACACTTTTGATTTGGTGCGTGTGTGGGCGTGCATGCGTGCGTGTGCATGCGTGTTTAATTGTGTATGTGTGGAGAGTGCCACATCATCCAATTTTCATAATTGCATGTGTGTGGTCACTTATTTTTAGCACAAACTTTATTAGTATTTAAATGCATATAACAGCTGTTACCTAGCACATACCGTAATTACTCGAATCTAACGCGCACCTTTTTTCCGGTTAAGCGAGTTCATAAATCGCATGCGCGTTAGAATCGAGTACGAACAAAAAAATTACGGTCAATCTATTGCCATCGGCAAATCCAAAATGGCCGCCCCCTACGTGCGTCGGCGCGCGTCGGCCATTTCTGCCTATGTGTTTCCCATGTGCGGCACTTTGTACATGTGCTGAGAAGTTCGTCATCTAGTAGTGCATTAGCATCGACGGCGTGGAAGGGCCGACTTCAAAAACTCGAGTGCACCACGATGCCGCTTTTAAAAGAAAAGTCATCGCGTGTGCAGAAACGGACGGAAATCGGGGCGCATCACGATCATTCGGAGTTCCCGAAACGTGCGTGCGGGACCGGCGGAAACAAAAGCAGAAGATTGTCGACAGCAAAGCTTCACGCAAAGGCTTCAGTGGACCACAGCAGGGTCGGTTTCCTCAAATTAAAGAGCTGCTCGGCGAGTATGTGCTTGAGCAGCGAGCGGCACGGCGGCCCGTGACGACAGAACTGCTCCAAGTGCTGGCTATGCAATTAGTCTTAGAAAAAGGTCTAATGCGGAGCCAGTTTAAAGCGAGCAGGTGCTGGCTAACTAACTTTATGAAGGGGAAAGGCTTTTCCCTCCGAAGGGGAACATGCATATGCGAAAAGTTTTGCGGAGAAGTACGATGAAAAGCTTCACAGTTTTCAGAGGTTTGTTCTAAACTTGCGGCGCAACAACGGCTACCTGCTTGGGCAAATCGGGAATGCCGATCAGACGCCTTTTTACTTCGTCATGCCTGGCACCACAACCGTCGAGAAGAAGGGGGCGAAGCAAGTTCGCGTGCTGACATCGGTCCATGGTAAAACTACAGTGACGGCAATGCTCTGTTACACATCAGATGGGCACAAGCTTCGCCCGTACCTCATATTTAAATGGAAGACGCTCCCGAAAGGAGTCGTTTTTTCGAGGAATGTGATCGTGCGGGCCAGCGAGAAAAATAGTTGCACGTTGCAATCGATGTCTTACGTTTTTTTTTTTTTCCGCGGTGGAAATCGGGTGCGCGTTACAATCGAGGGCGCGGTAGAATCGAGTAAATACGGTAGTCAAGCAATTTTTTTTTTGTCCACTTATTGCCACCATCAAGTGCAGGAAATGAATTGTACCGGCTTGAATACTACTAGGGAGGCATTCCCTCTATATGTGGGTGACATTTTACATGAAGCTAGTGCAGTGAGGGTGTAACGGTAGCATCAGGTGTTCCAGTAGCATGCAGTGATAGTTGTCTAGGCAATTTTAACACGATAGCGTTAAAGAGCTCATTTTGCAGAAATACCGGTGTCAGTAGTGTTTGTTGTGAGCGAAAAATCATCCTATGTGTGACCGAAAAACCGATACCATTGCAAATCTTGCAAAAAAAATCCATTGCAAAAAATTCTATTGCAAAAAAAAATCTGGGTTGTGGGGACTGAACCAGAATTGTTTGGGTCCAAGTGGGGATCGACCATGCAAACATCCGTTTGCCATGCAAACGACCAGAGTTTTTTTTAAAGTCGGGTCGTTTGCATGGCAAGCGGATGTTTTATCACATGGCCACACGCTTTTGCTTATGAAAACAATTTAATAACTTTCTTTGCTTGGAAATACAGTGAAAGTAGCTTTCATGCTTCACAAACACATGTACTGTATACATGCATGCATGGTACAAGCGCTCATTGCCAGCGGGCGTCGGAACATGTGATTATCATAATAGCTTATGGTTTAAAACCCGGAAACCATTGTGCCTATTCTCTTAAGGCGACGTAAGGGAGTGTATAGCAAGTTCAAAAAGGTTTCATGTATAAGTGTTCGAAGTACGCACTAGAAACAGGATATCGCTATCCCGTTCAACTCCTTAACACGGAGCTTTAGGGTCCTTTCATTTTTGGAGAAGCCGTGAACAGCTGCAAGTAGCTATGCGTGGTCAAACACTATAAGTGGTGCTATGTCATGCTGATATTGCGCTGTAGACATTTCCAAGTAAGCTGAAGCTTCACCCTTGTCCTCACGCTCGCTTCTCTCTCCTACCCCCTTACTAGACTACACTGTACTTTATGTGGCTATACCATGCTTTCTTTCTCTGTGTTTCTTTCTCCATTTCTCTCTGCAAGAAGAGCAAGGTGGAAGCTTGCGATGAGTAATTCATAATATGGGTGAAGGGGAGGGGGGGTGTTGGAGCCAAAGTTTTGACCTGTGGGCTTTTCCAGTGAGGCTTAGTTGCTGCCTTGACAAAGACAAGTCCACTTGTCGAAATGTCGGCTCCAGCACCCACACCGTGTTTAACATGTACAAATTAAAAGAAATTCGTACTCATATATTTTGAAACAGGCTGTTGAATAAACAGGAGTTGACTCTGCGATCGAGAGCTTTATTTAGCGCAAGGGCTAACTGTATGCAAGCCTGCGATCACAGCACGTCTTCTTCTTCTTATTCCTCTACTCGAGCTCCATGTCCACTGTACTGGTTACAATTGCCCCCGGGCGATGAGGAAGCCATCCTGGCGACTTAAGGACAGGTGTACACAGAAGGGTCATGGTACGACTTGAGCCGAGAGATGTGTATGATTCCTTGTCCCCGACAGCGCTTGTCCGGAGATGCGTCCAGCGACTCGACAAGGTAGTTGACAGGAGATGTTTGGCGTACAACTCGATAGGGACCATGGTACCTGGATGAAAGCTTGTGGGAGAGTCCTGGAGGAGTGGAAGGAATCCATAGCCACACCAGTGAGTTCGGAGCAAAGCTCATGGGCGTGGTTGACGCTCCGTGGCTATGTTTTCGGCCCGTCTGGTCGTGTGACGTGAACGCACGAGCAAGTTTCCGACATTCTTCAGCGTGTGCTGCTGCTCGAGAAACGGTTGTCAACTCTGAAGGGTCCTGTCGATAAAAAAGAATGGTATCCATTGTTGATGGCTTGCGTCCATAAAGAGGGACGAAAGGTGAAAATCCAGTGGTGCTTTGCGTTGCAGTGTTGTAGGCATATGTTGCAAAAGGCAGTATGCTATCCCAATTTGACCAAATGTACGATTAAAATGCTCTGTCATCCCATTAGTTCGCGGGTGATAGGCTGTGGTAGTGCGGTGTATGATGTGACACTCGTTCAACAACGCTTTGATGGCATGTGAGAGAAAAACGCGGCCGCGGTCGCTTAATAACTCCCGAGGTGCTCTATGCCTTAAAACCAGGTTTTGCAGTATAAAACATGCAACGTCTTTTGCGGTAGCTGAAGGCAACGCAGCTGGTTTCAGCGTGCCGCGTTAGGTGGTTGATAGCGACAATTTCCCAGCGGTTGCTACTCAAAGTATAGGGAAGCGTACCGTAAAGGTCGATTCCGACACGATCGAAAGCTCGTGTCGGACATGGCAACGGCTGCAAGGGATCTGTGGCATGTTGAGCGGGCATTTTGCGTCGCTGACATGTAAGGCAAGACCTTACGTAATGGCGAACAAAACGGTACATACCGCGCCAGTAGTACCGCAGCTGCAAGCTGAGTGTATGTTTTTAACACACTAGCATGGCCACATTGCGGATCGTCGTGGAACGTGGCGCAGATGTCGGAGCGGAGATGTCGGGGAATGACAAGCAACCACTTGCGGCCGATCGGGCTGTAGTTTTGGAGGTAAAGCAAGTTATCCCGAATAGCAAAGTGTTGTGCTTGACGGCGAAGCATACTGGAAACCAGAGCGGGCGTCCGGTTTGAGAGAAAGTCCAAAAGGGAAGAAATCCAAGCGCCTTTGCGTTGCTCGAAAGGCATGTCCGAAATGCTGATGGCCAAGGCAGCTCTGGTGGAGATAGGCGAGCCGACAGGCTCTGAAGCCAATGGCGAACGTGACAGGACATTGGCGTCGGAATTTTTCTGCCTAGAACGGTAGATGACACGGATATCGAACTCCTGTAACCGCAATGTCCAACGAGCGAGCCGACCATTAGGATCTTTTAGTGAAAATAACCAGCAAAGCGCATGGTGTGGTGTGTCAAAGTATCAAACGAATGTCCATATAAATAAGGCCAAAATTTTCCCATTGCCCAAATAATGGCGAGACACACTGTAATTCTTCTAGGCTTTACTGAGGGTGCGGCTGGCATATGCAACGACGTACTCGTCAAAGCCATCCTTACGTTGGGCCAGTATAGCCCTAGCCCGACATCACTAGCGTCCGTTTGATGCTCCGCTGGAGCAGACGGATCGAAATGTCATAGTATGGGAGGCGTAGTGAGGAGTTGTCGGAGTTCTTGAAATGCATCATCACATGCCTGTGACCATGCTGACAAATCGGAACTTCCGGCAAGAAGATTGATCAAGGGGGCGATAATGGGGGTGAAATTGCGGACGTAGCGCCGGA